TTAGCATAGTCAGAAAACAGAGAGCCTGAAACTCTCAACTTACATATGTTTTATATTTTTGATTGTAAAATGGTTCACAATGGTTCCTTTAGTTGTCATTTGAAGTGATAAGCTAGATTTTATATACACTCTCTTACTATGCAAATATGTTTCTATTAGAAAATGATCAAACCTTATAGCAGTCCGAGAATCCTAGTTACTCAGGAGCTAAGACGGGAGGATTGTACTTCCATGCTCACCTGAGCTATAGAGTCGGTTTGGCCTTTACTCAAGACCAACCTGGGTAAAGCAAGAAGCAATAAAAGAGGAAGAGGAATGCAGCTTAGTGGTGGGCTGTCTGCCTAGAATGCATAGAGGCCTTGTGTTCATTCACAGTATCACAAGTACAAAGAAAGAAAAGGACATTGAGCTAAGGACTGATGAGATGGTCCAGCAGGTAGAGACACCTAAGGTCTAACCTGACACCTTGAGCTCAGCCCCTGGAACCCACATAGTAGAGGAAAAGAACCAATTCCTGCGAGTTGTCCTCTGCCTCGACTTGTACAGAGAGAAAATAACAAATGTAAAATTGAAAATACAAAACAAAACCCAGAAAATTGAATTAGCAAGGAATAGATTTTGACATTCTCAAGAGTTTTGTACCAGATCATAGGGTGTGTTACTGACAATACTATAAAGTACAGTCAATGCCAAGTCTGACCCACAGACATGATGTTTGTGACCATGACCATTACATTTTCCACACTGGTCACTGCTATCCCTGTTTGCTATTTACTGTGGCAAGAGAAAAGTGACCACAGACATAAGACCCATGACTGATGAGTGTTCAGGACTCTGTGTGTGTGTGTGTGTGTGTGTGTGTGTGTGTGTGTGTGTGTGTGTCCCACTTAGATGCTGCTGGGGAATCAAATAACTTACTGGTGTTCTTTTAAAAGTGTCCAGTGATGCTTTTTATGGTGCATCATTCTTTTGAAAATTCTCTGTTCATGTCCCAGGTCCATTTTTTTAAATAGGTCAATTCATTCCTTCTTTTAAAATTGTGTTGTTGTTGTTTAGTTCTTTATATATTCTGGATATTAATTCTGTCATATATATGGTTCGCAAAGACTCTTTCTCATTCTGTACCAAGACAGACACTCATTGGAAAATGTCCTTTGTATGCTCACACAGATTGTGGCTGTAAGACCAGTATTCTGAGAGGCTTGGGAAATCAACATGCTAAGAGCACAAAGGACCCAAGAGCTTAGAGCTGGAGAAGCTGCCTGGGCAGGAGGAGGTGATTCTAGGAGCAATGGAAATGATGAAGTGTGAGGCCCTAAATGGAGAGGAAACTCAGGAGGACAGGGCCATCAATCACTGCCAAGCTTATCTTCTGACAGGGAGTGGGACTCCAGCTTCCAGATGTTGCATTAAAACGTAATGTTCCCCTTGAGACTCGCATGGCAGGCTTCCCTGAAGCTTCGGTTTCACTCAGCTAACTAATTATGAGAAAATGTGACATCGGTATTTCACTTTTTCTACAGGGACAAATCATTCCCAGCAGGAGGGAGAAGTTGTTATTTTTTTTTTGTTCAGTTTTCTTTTGTCATTAAAGAGAAATTACTTACACAGCAGTAAATAAACTCTTGTTAGAGGGGAGGAATTTTTTTCCCCTTCTCAATAATTCTGTCAATTTTACTTTAATGCTGACAATCATTTCATTGTTTTCCCAATAATATGGTAAAGTTAAAAAGAGGATAGCTTGGATATTGAATCTAGGACTAAATCAACTCAACCATTTAGTAGATATGAGATGTCAAGGCATTTATTTAAGGACTTATTCCCCAAGCTATAAAGCTGGGAAGATACATGCCCTGTAGGCTGTTACCTACTAATAATGAACCGGAGTAATGCAGTTACAGTGTGTCAGTACAGTTCTGAGTAACTACTCAATACACTTTCTCTCCTGTTCTCAAAACCTGAACACTCTGTTGTAAGCATGACAATAACGTATGTGCCATCTACGCCAGATGTTGGCAGTCTCACACGACCACTCATCCAATCCTGTACCCATTCTTTACTTAGGGACTTCAAATTATGTATTAAACATCTTGTTCTTTCTTGAGTCTAGTACAAAAATAAAAGGTTTCCAGTGAAAAGCTATTGTTTGTAGGTTAAGTTAAAAGAGGCACATTTCTCCCCAGTAACCATCATCTTTTAACTTTTTTTAGTTTTGTCTGTTTGGTTGGTTGCTCTATGGTTTGTTTGTTCCTTTGTTTAGACAAGAAGGCTCATTACATTTTCTGTACTGGCCCCCAACCTGTGACTTTCCTGCCTCTGCCTCCCGAGTAGCTGGGTTTGTTTGTGAAAATACCAACATCTCAACCTCTGTGCTCTGTGGAGCAAACATCAGCCAATCTACACATCCTGTAACACTGCCTGGATGGAAGAACGTAAGAACATGTTATCTGGGTGCCTGTAACGAACTGGAAGGCCATTTCTACAGATGATTCCCCATTTCAGTTCACAACTATCCAGGAGACACGCAGAGCAGAGCAGAGGAGCCCATTGCACAAACAGGCAAACTAAGAAAGAAGGGGCAGGGTTGCTTGCTCAAGTGTGTTGAGGGGCAACTGTACGGATGGGAAATGGCAGGGTTACGGGGCTTTTCTAAGCTAGATTTCTGCAAGAATGAATTTTTGTTTCAGAAATAGCCAAAGGCAGCAGCTGTTACTGAAGTAAATAGGATTGCTGGTGGAGAGAGAAAAAAAGAGAAAACTGAGGGGCACAGGGTTTTATATTCTGGTTTCACAACCCATTTGCCAATGTGCCTCAGTTCTTTTAGAATAGACCAGAGACATTTGATTCACCTCTCTTCTAGAGGCGTCACAATGTCATTACGACATGCAAATGTCATACAAGGGTGACGATGACACTGAAGATGTTTTATGATGGCCACAGTGAATATTGATTCCTAACGTATGTAAATGTAAGGCAACACATTGTGTGCCAGGTAGAAAATCGTAGCAGTAAAGAACCATGTACAGCGATTTCCCCAATGATGCACAGACTAATAGACGATGAACAGGTAGACAGTGTGGGTAAATCAGCACGCATGTTCAAACTTTAGAAGTTACAGGAAACAAAGAGGCAGAAATATAGAGTGCATTTTTGAATTCACTAAAATATAATAATCATCTGGTTTGCAAAGTAGTTCCTTAACTAATCACTAATCACATATAATAGTTGTTAAAATACCCTTTGCCCTCTGCCCTGAATAACCCCCCCTCCCCTTTGGAAAAAAATAAAAATAAAATACTCTTAATTCCGAGACTGGCTTATTTGGGCAGGGATCACCTTCCAAGGCTTCAAAGGACCCTGGCATTTGCCTAGAGATCGCTTCTGACTCCTTTAGAAGTCTAGTGGACTGCAGAACTTGAATTTAGAATCTCCTCCCCCTTCCTTGTGAATAGAGGATTTACTCTTATGCTCAGAAAGATAAAAGAAGCCACAGGTTATTAAGGATAAAATTAGTTCAAAATAAAGGCAAACACACATTTCTAATTTATCATTTGGACACGGAAGCTGAAGGACTTATAAATACACAATCAAACCCCTATTCATACCAGCAAGAATCAGCAAAATAGCATGCAATAATGGTTTACCATTAGGTGGTTGATTACCTAATTCTGACTTAATGGGCCTTGAACATAATTTTCCCTACAATTCTACAGAGAACATGATACAACCTCATTCCAATATTAGGACTGATTTCATAATGTAGCAGCAGGAGAGACAGCCTAAAACTCCTGTTCCATTTTCTTAATTCACTCACTTAATAAATACATTTTTAATGTTTGCTTTTTTGTTGGACACTGTATCCAAGAAATTGGCAGTCTGAGAAGCCCGCTAAGGAAAGCATCAGATTAGTGTGCTAAGCTTAGGAAAAATATATGGCATAGTAAGTAGATCAGAGAGCTTTCAGGGGAGATGAGGAAGGGTGAGCAGAAACCGTCACATGACAAAAAGCAAGAGCCATTTCCTTCTGGGGACAGCAAGAATGAAAGCAGGAGATGCAAAAAACAACAAGTGATCCAGAAATCAGATACAGAGTCATATGCCTGGAGTGCAGGGTATTGAGATGGCAGATAAAGCAATAAGCACCAGAGGAAGATGAAGATTCCATCCTTAAAGCCTGTAGCACTTGCTTTAAAATACAGTATCAAAGGCCAACCACAAGTTTTGGTCCTGTTGTAAAGTGGCCATCCTATGTGTGAAAAGTGCTACATACAGTGAACTGGAAAGGGTTAATCTGCAGGTGTGCGTTATGTGTAATGGAACAATCTCAAAAGTCCAAGAAAGACAACAAGCCCCTAGCTAAAGCTGATTACAGATGTTTGAGAAACATCATTCTATGGTCTGGTGAACCCATGACCGACACCAAGCAAACAATTTTGAGCGACTATGGAATAAGTGAACAAAAATTAGAAATGACATAATCAGATGTTTTGTCCTCTGAGTGACACAGCTGTCTCTTAAAATAAGAATAATTCATGGCATTGAGTAAACAGCTCACTCCCTGATCCGCTTCCTTTCAGATTTAAAGCACTCTGCCAACACAGAGATGTGGCCTCACAAAGTCCAGTCTGGACAGGACTTGGGTGATCTCTCCTGTAACACCTCCTCATTTTAGACATGAAAAATCTGACTTGCAGAAAATAAGGCTCACCTCAAGAATTATGTGACACTTGTGACGGCAGACAGAAACCTGGTAGAAGATATTAAACTTCATAATGCTTCTCAACCAAAATAGTTACACACCGAGATGAAAATAATACCAGATATGAAACACAGCTTTGTGTTTTTAAAATTGTTTGACATTTCACACTAAAATGATTCAGGGTCAACATCTTAGAGGCACTTTCTTAACAGTTATCTACTAGGACATTGAATACTACTAGGATATGAACAAGGGTCAACTTTTGAGTGCAGAATTTAGAATAGAAACGACATGTTCTTACCATGATCTTCTGATGAGACTGGTGACCTATAAAAATAATACAAACATGATAAATATTTTATATATTATAATGATAACAATAAGTACACACAATTTTATAGAAATAATACAGTCAAAATTCAGAAGAGCACTTGCTATTCTTGCAGAGGACCCAAGTTTAGTTCCCAGTATCTACTTGGTGGCTCACTGACGTCCTCAAATCCAGTTCCAAAGGATCTGACACCTTCTATGATCTACATGGCTACCAGTTACACACATGATACATATATATACACATACAAGCAAAACACTCAGGCACATAAAATCAAAATTAATAAATCTTAAGAAAAATTCAGTTAAGGAGAAACTCAGTGGAGCAGGTATAACTAATGTTCTTGTTAAAAGACATATTCTAATCAACAACACTTCCATATTATCTAGATTGGTTGAGCATTATGGTTACTAAATGTCAGCACCTTAAGCATGCTGCCCCAGGGCTGCAACAAATTAGTTAAGTCTGAACTTATTGTGGAAGAATGAGAAGTCACTGAACTATGTTATCGAGTGAAACTTAATGCCCAAGGCCTAACACCTAGAACAAATGCCAGGAACAGCAATGTGCACTTAATTTATTGCACAAATGGCCATGCTCAGTCATTTTTAAAATGTAACAGAAGTAAAAGAAAATGAATGCATAATTATCATTATTTTCCTGTTTTTGAAATTCCTCATGGAAATTTAATGTTGGCATGAGCTTAAGCTTCTGTTCATGGCCTAGTATCTTTAAACTGATGAAAGTCAAGATAAGACCTAAAACCACTGAGGCCTCACAAATTTAATAAATCAATAACTTTAATAACTTTCCTATATAACCTGTAAGCTTAGCTCTAATTATCACAGACAGCTATCAAATGGAATAGCATGTCATCCATAAAATATTTCCCCTCAGTTGACACTTATGGTAGTGTGAATAAAAGAGGGGAACGGGGAACATCCAAAGATGTACTAGTTGTTGGAGCAATGTCAAACGACTTGGGGATGCATGATCCGGTTGCCCTTGATCCTAGTGATGAGTGATATCACTTTTATTATGTGAGTACACAGCAATGGTTGCACACATAGAAAATCTGAACATCCACTAGTGCAAACTGCTATTTCAGCCTCATGAGCCATTTCAGGTAGAATTTAGTACATCAGAGAGTCTCCAGACTTGGTGGAAAAAATTAGTGTCCAAGAAGCAAATAAACCAGAATAATGACAAGCAGGAATTGACACATCACTAAGCCATCATTACCCGAGAAACAAATGGCTTTCCCCTCTTGAAACCGATTTATGTGTCACTACAAGTTCCCAGATTTTGTACTGTCCTCACACTGGTCTTTGTAGGTTATTTCCCCTAGCAATGTGGAAACACATCTTAGTTAGAAAAAACAGGTCCTTGTTTTACATTTGTTGAATTGAATGCCTTCCAGTACCAATTCTGGTAATTCTGTATCAGATACAATTAAACGCTCTTTGAAAGTGATCATATCACCTTTGAATGACTTCAACTGTCTCCTTCTGAGCTCTCTAGGAGAAAGGGGGCCTTGGAATGAGCACACTTAAACACAGAAGATACCCAAGTCATCCAGCAAAAGGGATACCTTTTTCTGTTTTATCAGGAGAAAAACTTGAGCAGGGAATGTGTGGAACCAAAGGTAAAATGGAATTAGAAGTTGATTCCAAAGAAGAACATAGACTGGAAATAACATGTGCTGACGAAAGTGCCTGGGGCATGAGAGATGTATCCTCAATCAAAGAACACCTTTACTTCTGGTTTATTTTTATGTAAAGCAAACAAACACATATTTACAACTAATTTCTGATAGAGAATGAGAACAAAGGGAAACCCATGCCCGTAGCCTCCTGCATGTCTCCAGGTGGGAGCCCTTGAGGCACACTCTTTGCTGCCTTTCTGCAAAGCATTTAATACTAAATCTGAAATAGTCCAGATGGCTTCATTAAAGTCCCAAGGGGATACATTCTGAAGTAGGTCCAGGCAGCGAGGATGAACTATCAGAGTGATTTGCACAGATTAGTCATGTTGCATTTCTGTGGCTGAATGTCTCCCACACTCCTGGACTTGTGGAATTTGAAGACATATGGAGCATTTCAACCCTCACTCAGAATTTCACCTTTAAGTGCAAAATGTCACTAGATTACACTATTGAGACATGTACATCATTCACTTAGGCTGGGAGCGGGCATACAAAGTTTCACAGAACTCAGCTCAGGAGAGAAGAAATGTCCTGCATGAGCAATAGGAGCAGTTGTTTTTAAAATAGAGGTTGAATATCAGGAAGAGATTATCTTCCTGACAGCCGAGCCTGTCAGCTGAGGCACACAGGAAAACTCTCTCCTTACTACTCCCACCATTCTGAGAGACTTGAGCCAGAACTTGTTTAATTTCCTTCCATGTAAACAGTCTTAGAGGTAGGTGCTGCTTTCACACGATGAACTATTACTAACATTTACTAACTCAACCAGGTAGAGATCTCCTCTATATTTTCCTGATTACCAGACTTTATTATGATCTATGCAATATGTATATATTTTTTTCTATGCTTTATGACTTTGCTGGTGCTACTGACATTCTTTTTCCATTCAAATTCAGGAAATTGAAAAAAAAAAGAGACAACAGCAAAAACCAAATGAGAATTCAAAGACTGCTTTTAAGATTTGTTATTCTTTTACTAAACTAAATTGTTATCATTCATGCTGGAATCTTTCCATTCATTGGATTTAATGTATGCAGCAAGGTCCCAAATGTTTGTCCCACATGAACTGATATAGAAACAAAGGACAATATCAGAAGAGTCATCATCTGATGAAGAATTAAAAAAAATCTATTTATAACTTAGTGACATAATATAGAAAAACCCCAATGCTTATAACATAGTGAGATGTACAAGAAAAATATGTATTAAGTAAAAGGGTAAAAAAGCACAGAGAGATCAGTCATGTCCCCAAAGAATAAAACAAACTCTAAAGGTCAAACCCATTTGGCCCCAGCCTTAGGGAATTAATAAGAGCTCATTAAGTAAGTGAGAGAAAAATTCTAGACAGAAGCAATGGGTACGTAAAACAGCCAGAACTGAAATTTCATAGACTTCATAGACGTTATCAGAGACATAAATAACTCAGTACTGCTGCCACGTAAAGAATGATAAAACCCATGACTGAGGGAGTTGGGGCCATTCCATATGGAGCCTATAAATCTATTTTCACGTGTCTGGAATTTACTTTCTAAAATAAATACAAAAAAAAAAGTTTGAAAGCCACATTTTCTGGTTTCTATTTTTGAATGATCTAAAGAGAACAGAGAGAGGATAAGCTCAGGGGTTACTGTAAAACTTCCCTGTCAAGAAACAAGAATAAAAATGTCTGTTTTTCAATTCTTCTTGAAATCCATGAAAAATAACAGGGAGCATGGAAACCAATAAAAACATCTTTCAGTAATCTAGCTGTTTATAAGAGAAACTGCCATTGATGAAGAAGAGTCACCAAATATAGTAAAAGCTGGACTATGCTTCAGGAGAGCAGTCCTGACATTAATGGGACACAGTGACATCGTATTCCACGAATCCAGGCAGAAAGTCCCAGGACTGAGAAGTCATGATCTTGAGATGTTAGACCAGATTCCAGAAGAGAGAGTGCAGAATAAAAAGGGTCTGAAAACGAGCAACCCAAAGTGAGCCTTCCTGTAGTTATCCACCCCAAACCAGAAGTTCTGGAAAGAACTTACCCAGTAAAAGTATCACAAATACTCAAAAAGCTACTATGGCTCCACAAAAAGACAAACCAAACAAGAAATGTCAGCGGAACATACCAAAGAGATGAAGGCACGAAGAAGTTAAGAATGGTTACTCAATTTGCATGACATTTGAAAATGGAAAAAGTGAGAACAGAGTAGTGAGTTGGGACAGAAACAGAGCCTTTGAGATGTCCAGAAAGGAATGCAGTGACAGGAAATACACGAAAATGGAGACAGCACAGGCTTGCCCAGCCTTTAGCTGGTGGATTAGTGTAGTATGGGTTTGCCCAGTCTTTAACTAATGGATTAGAGTAGCATGGGCTTGCCTAGCCTTTAGCTAATGCATTAGAGAGATAAAGCCAGAAGTCTATTTGTTGCTGTAGAGAAGAGAAAAGTAGTATAAGAGGTAAATAATTTAAAATGTCAAAACATAAAACACTTTTAATGTATTCTATCATTTTAGGGGTAATTTTTATTTTACCTTACATTTTAATTAGTGTAGACATAAGAAGTTTGGATTCTTCTTAAATGAGTTTATTTATTCTTCTTTCATAGATTACATCCCAGCCCCAGTTTCCCTTACCTCGTCTCCTCTCAGTTCGTCCTCCACTTCCCCTCTCTCCTAGATCCATCCCTCCTCTGTTTCTCTTCAGAAAAGAGCAGATCTCTCAGGGATCTCAACCAAACATGGAATAACAAGTAACAATAATCTAGGTATGTTTGGGTTCTTAAAGCAATTTCTCTAAAGTAAATATGTGTTGAATGCAGTTTTAGGAAATATCTCTAGATGTCATAGGGACTGAGTTTATTCTCTAGAATACAGGGGTTTCTATAGAAAAGTCAGTCTATACACAACTGATAGAAGAAAGTGGAGAAGACGCAACACATAGCCATGGCTATATGAGATGAGCTGATGATTCAATACAATACCAAAGACATTCTTTATATATATATTGTAAATACTATCCTAAAATTAATATAGAATCACAAAGGACCTCAGGAAAGCAAGGCAATCTTGAACAAAATGAACAAAGCTGGAGGCATTGCACTATCTGACTTTAAAATGTACTACTCTCTCCTAGATATGGCTGCATAAGCCGAGTCGGAACAATAGCTATACCAATAGACAGGCTAGCATAGAAAGGGGAAATTTTCATGCAGTCTCACCCCAAGACAAATACAGACAGCTAAGGACTGCCTAGAAAAGGAGGATTAGCCTCTCCCATAGCCCTGTAATTGGTTATCTAACACAAAG